TGTTAGCGTCTGTGCATATGGCACCCGTTGGCTGTATTCTTCAGCCAGAGTCTCAGACCAGCTGAGTCATGATTGCTCTGCCTTTGTTGGTTTTTCTTTTCGGTGCCACATAAGGAAACAGAAACAGATTATCTCACCGAGTACACAGATCATAGGAGAAAAGCCACAGACAGTTAGTGGTCTCCTGTGGGTCATCATTCATTCCGCTGTAGTGCTAACACTTGTGATGGTATCTTGCGCCTTCCAGAACAGTGATTTGTGCAGCCCAGCATTGCCTTATGGGTTACAGCCCTGGGGAAAGCTGGGGGGGGGGGGTACTTGCTGGGGGGTGCCTCCAAGGGCCATCTTTACCTCTTCCCTTCATATCAACCTCAGATCCCCCGCCTCACTTTCAGAGTGGCTGTGGTTTCTCTGTTATACCTTTCAGGTGGTCCTAATACATGGAGGGGCGGGGGTTAGGGGGGTGGGAGGATGGGGGAGAGACATACCCTTATTTATTTGTTCTCCAGGTTTATTGAGATATGATTGACCTATAACATGTAAGTTTAAGGTGTATAATATATTGGTTTCATACATTTGTATGTTGCAAAATGATTACTACTGTGGAATTAGATTACACCTTCATCGTGTCACATAATTAGCATTTCTTTTTTTGTGGTAATAGTACCTAAGATCTGCTCTCTTAGCAACTTTTAGGCATGTAATGCATTGTCACTAGCTGTGATTGCCACGCTGTGCATTAGATCCCCAGAATTTACTCATCTTGTTACTGAAAGTTTGTACTCTTTGGCCAACATCTCCCCATTCTCCCCACCACAGCCCCTGGCAACCACGATTCTACTTTTTAAGATCTTGCTTCCATGCAAGTTAGCTTCTCACCTTCTTCTTCTCTTTTAAAATCATCACTATATTTATTTTTGTTGGGTTACTTTCTTAGGTTTGTCTGCCTTTACAGAAGAAGTAAGTTGCATGGGCCTGAATTTATTACTTTAGTTTGTTCATTTATTATTGATTTCAGCGTTCGCTCCTGAGTCGTTTGCTGGGTAGTTGGGTGGGTGCTGGAGATTCCAACTTAGAGGCTAAGAAGGAAATTCAAGGAGGAGTGGAATTAAATTTTAAAGTAATGCTCTCTTATCTAGAATACTCTTTCCCTGAAGCTTGAGGCTCTCATATCACATCTAGTGTAATTTTTTTTTTTTTTTTTTTT